TTCGTCCCCCGAGCTTCTAGGCCTCACTACTTCCGACTACGCCACTTCGACTCCTGATCTTTTCGACCAATCCGGTTCTTCGCCCGAACCCGAGGATCCCATCCCATCTACTTCGAATCTTGTACTTCCGACTCCGTCTTTTCGCGCCCACGCTCAGCCATCTATCGCATCCTCTTTGAAACATTTATCTTTCTGTTCCATTCCTTGTATTACTAGCGCCCATACTGGCACCTGTCTTAGCGCTCACCCGCAGGTTGAACATTATGTAGCTTACATAATGGGGTCCGTGCGCACTTCGTGCCTGGTATCGTACCACTACGTTTCTTTCTTCACTAACACGACCACATAGACACGATGGTCCGTGCGCAGTCGGTACTTGTATAAGTAGTTGTACCATTAGTCGGTCGAACCCTAAGTTCGACCTGGTTATTCATTCAAGTCTCTGCTCCTCTTCGCTTGGGGTAGTGGTCATTCTCGACTTCCTCGCTCGATCTTCAGGATGACGTACTGTCCATAAGTCCTCACTTGTTGTCTACGAGTCAGGCATCAGTATAGGAGTATAGACCGTTGTATCAAAAGGTCGAACTTTCTAAGCTACGTTCCTAGTTTCACCTAGTCGAACAACTCATCCACCATCACGTCGAACAACGCAGTAAACCCGGTTCCCTTGGGACTACCAGCCCTCGCAGGATCTCCCCTTCTCCAGTACGACCGAGCAGACCGTTGCTTTGTCACCACCACAAGAAGGACTCCCATCTATCCTCGAGGCGGCTCCTGGGTTCGCGCAGAAGGCTCCAACCCGCAGATCATCGCCCATCAACAGCTTGTCAGCTATTACCAGAGACACCCTCCTGCTCACCCAGAAGACGTATTCGCCACCCTACGAATCAACGTCGAACCAGCACAAACAACAGAGAACCTACAGTCACCTGTTAACGAACAACCGTTCGAGCTCCCGGACGTTCAGTATGTTCCCATCGAGGCTCCAGAACTACCACCAGCTCCACCTGCACCAACCAACGCACCGGTTGAAGTCCCTATGGCAACATTCACTCAAGCAGACATCGATCAGCGCATCGCTGTCACCCTCGCAGCATACCAATCCCAACAGTCAACTGCCAAACGACCCCTTCGCCTTGACATCCCCGCTCCCGAACCTTTCAGCGGAAAGGCGGAGGACCTCAGACACTTCATCCAATGCGTCCTCTCCTACTTCGTCGCCACCAACAACACCAGACTTAGCGATGAAGCAAAGATCGCCTTCATGGTAGCATTAATGAGGAAGGACCTAGGGAAGACGTGGGCAGACGCATACTACGAGAAGTCGGCAGGGGGAGTCCAGGTCTATCCCGATTGGGCAGCCTTCGCCACCGCCCTTGAGGAAGCGTTTCCTGAGCACGGAACACGAATCAAGGCGCACCAAATCCTGATGAAGCTGCCCAAACGACAGAAGAACAAGAAGATGGCACTCTCCCTCAGAAACTACGTCACCCGCTTCGAGCAGCTAGCGTCGAAAGCCCAGCTCAAGGACGCCGAAGTCAATGGCGTCAACCGCACCAAGAACGACTACCACACTCTCCATGCCAACTTCGTCAAGGGACTTCCGAAGGAACTCTATGTCTCTCTTGCAACCAGGGTCACTAGAGACCGACCCAGCACCATGAAAGCCTGGTACGACGAAGTCCGAAACGCCGACGCCGCCGAACAAGGGGCCCTCACCGTCACAGACACCAGGGACTATGGCGAGCCAATGGATATTGACGCCGCTGCAGTCGTGGCAACCTTTGCCTCCACATCGGGAGGAAGGAAGTGGGAACTAGGAGCCGTTCTCAATGAGGCTGATCGGAAGCTCCACAGGGACGGAAACCTGTGCTTCTACTGCCACATCAAGGGCCACAGCGCCAAGGATTGCCGCAAGAAAGCGGCCGCACGACAAGGGGGTGGAAGGCCGAACCAGGGAAGATCTGGGAAGGACGACTTCCGTGCCAGAATCAAAGCACTCTCCGCTGACGAGAAGCGGGAGCTGTACAAAGAACTTACGATGGAGGATTTTTGAAGGGGCAGGGTGAGCCGACGCAACCACTGCCCGTATCCGTTTCACTGTCCTGTGTAATTCTAGTAGTCTGAAATGAACGCGCTCTGCACATTCCGATTACTGTGGGACGAAAAGACGTCGAGGCGCGCACTTTCATCGATAGCGGCGCAACTGGAATCTTCATCAGCCCGAGATTCGTCCGAGAACATCGACTTCGGACAGAACCTCTTCCCTGACCCATCCCCGTCTTCAACGTGGATGGAACACCGAACAAAGAAGCACTCATCACGCGAAGAGCTCTCTTATCCTACAAGATAAGCGGAGAACCCCAATTCGTCAAAGCCTACATCGCCAGCATCGGCAAGGAAGACGTCATCTTCGGCCATACCTGGCTCAAGCTCGAAAACCCCAAGATAGACTGGAAAACCGGATGAGTTGAGCTAAACCACCGGTGGACGAAAGACGAGACAAGGGCCTGGAAGATGGACCTGTACCAAAGGCGAGTGGCCCGGCTAGAACTAAAGAAGGCCGTAACTACCCCACTCCCAGAACCAACGAAGGATGAATTCGTCGTCATCCCCACCTCGGAACACGCAACCCTCCCCGAACGAAAAACTAGCGGCGCAGCAGGATATGACATCTCTGCTGCGCATCAACTCATCATCCCTGCCCGACGACGAGGCCTGGTCGGCACCGATCTTACCATGGCTATCCCCGAAGGACACTACGGAAGAATCGCACCTCGATCCGGCCTAGCACTAAAGGAAATCGATGTCGCTGCTGGAGTAATCGACTCTGATTACCGAGGCAAGGTCTCAGTCCTACTGGTCAACAACTCTGACCTCCCATTCACCGTCAAAGTCGGCGACCGAGTCGCTCAGCTTATCCTTGAAAGGATAAGCACCCCACCAGTAACTATAACCGACTGCATTGACGAAACTGAACGCGGGGAGGATGGGTTTGGGTCAACGGGTATTGCGTCCATCGAGGAACAAGCGGAGGACATCGACGATGATGAGTTCATCATTTCCTACTTATCTGGAGCGCCGATGATCACCAAGTACGAGAAACAGGAACCCCTGGCCGTAAGGGACGCTCCGCTCAAGGAGCAACTCCCTGAACTTTCATCTGGCTACAAACAACTTCACAACAGTATGATCTGGAAAATCCACCACGGCATTAGGCGCATCACCACTTCCACCGAACTGGCAGCATCGAACGCCCAAGGCAAGACAGAAAAAACGCTACCACAGATGGTATCATCCTACCTACACGATCTCCTCCCCGTCTTCGACAAAGCCACGGCTGCGCGACTTCCAGACCACACCGAATATGACCACGAAATCAACCTCAAGGAGGGCTTCGCGGACATGAAGCAACAGGTCTATCCGCTCAACCCGCAGCAACGAAAGGAACTCGACAAGTTCCTCGAGGAGAACCTGAGTAAAGGGTACATTCGCCCTTCGAAATCCCCGTTGGCGAGTCCATTCTTCTTTGTTGGTAAAAAGGACGGTTCACTACGTCCCTGTCAAGACTACCGGCTGCTCAATGAGAACACGGTCAAGGATCGATACCCGCTCCCGCTTATATCTGACCTCCTGGACAAGTTGAAGCACGCCAAGATGTTCACGAAGATGGACCTCCGCGCCGGATACAACAATGTTCGAATCAAGAAAGGGGATGAATGGAAGGCAGCGTTCATCGTACCCGGAACTGATGGCAAACCGCCGCAGCTATACGAACCAACAGTGATGTTCTTTGGGCTGTGTAATTCTCCCGCTACGTTCCAGCGAATGATGAACACAATATTCGCAGACATGCTTCAAGAAGGCTGGCTTTGCATTTACATGGACGACATCCTGATCTTTTCCCAGGACAAGACAGAACACGAAGAACGAACACGACGTGTTATCGAACAACTTCGACAACACAACCTCTACCTCAAACCGGAGAAATGTGCCTTCGACGTCACCGAAGTCGAATTCCTCGGCATGATCATCCGCCCAGGAGAAATCGCAATGGACCCCGTCAAACTAGCTGGCATTGCAGATTGGCCGGTGCCGTCCAACCTCAGGCAAGTACGCGCCTTCGTTGGATTTGGAAACTTTTACCGCCGGTTTATCAAAGGCTTCTCGGACAAAGCGCAACCGCTGGTTGCTCTCACCCGGAAGGACGTTGCCTGGACCTGGGGATCTGACCAACAGAAAGCCTTTGAGACCCTCAAAAAGGTGTTCCTAGAGGAACTGGTACTACGCATGCCGGATCCTGACCGACCCTTCACTATCGAAACCGATGCCTCAAAGTTTGCCACCGGAGCGGTGCTACGCCAACGCGATGACAACGGCGACTGGCATCCTTGCGGATACCTCTCTCAAAGCTTCAATGCGGCAGAAAGAAACTACGACATCTATGACAGGGAGTTATATGCGGTCATCCGCGCACTAGATGAGTGGAGACACTACCTCATTGGCAGCCCATACCCAGTAACGATTCTCAGCGACCACAAGAATCTCACATACTGGAAGCAGGCCAAAGACATGAACCGACGACAAGCACGCTGGGCGAGTAAACTGACCGAGTTTGACTTCCGCCTGGTGCACGTTCCTGGTACCCAAATGGTGCAGAGCGACGCTCTCTCCCACCGACCCGACCATGACGATGGCTCAAATGACAACACCGACGTTGTTATGCTCCCACCGGAAGTATGGGTCGCTGCCATCGACATCGACACCCGCGACACCATCCTTTCTTTCAAAGACGACCCAATAATGACGGAAGGACTCACTGCAGCGCGCACTGGGGGAACACCACGCACTGGAACAGACTGGTCCATCGATGATGACCTCCTCCTATACCAGGATCGGGTCTATGTACCCCCAGATGAGTCTCTTCGCAAGCGTCTTGTCTCCCACTATCACGACCTCCCCTCTGCAGGACACCCCGGTGTTCAGAAAACCCTCCTCGGCTTGCGCCGTGACTACTGGTGGCCGAGCATGGCCCAGTTTGTTGCTCGCTATGTTAATGGCTGTGGCATCTGCCAACAAATGAAGGTTAACACGCATCCAGCCCAACCGCCCATCACCCCCATTCGACCCCGCGCAAATGCCAAGCCCTTCAGCACATTCTCGTGCAATTACATTACCGACTTGCCACCGTCCAATGGCTTCGATTCCATTTTGGTCATAGTGGACCACGACCTTACGAAGGGGGTAATTTTCATCCCATGCAACAAAACAATTGACGCTCTTGGGACGGCAGATGCAATGTACCGAGAGGTCTACAAGTGGTTTGGACTCCCAGACAAGATCATCAGTGACCGAGGACCGCAATTTGCGTCCAAAGTCTTCCAGGAACTTTGCAAAATGACTGGGGTCCAATCAGCCATGAGTACAGCATTCCACCCGCAAACCGACGGCGAGACAGAACAAGTGAACCAAGAACTGGAGATCTACCTCCGCTGCTTCACTGCCAATGACCCGGATAAGTGGGCTGACCATCTTCACACTGCGCAATTTGCTCACAACTCCCGCGAGCACTCCACGACGAAGGCGTCCCCGTTGAAACTCATGATGGGATACGAACCTTGTGGAATACCCACTGCACACCCCGGATCAAACACGCCCCAAGCAGCTTATCGCCTCAAGGACTTGCAAAACATCCGCGAAGAAGCACATGCGGTGATACGACCTACGAAACCCTAACCCCTAACCTGGGTGCGACCTAAAGGGACTAGAGAGACGGATTATAGTCTTAGTGAGAGGGGAGTTAGCAGCAAGGTGTCCCGTGGTTCGAGTGAACACGAGAAGCGCCTTCGGAAAAGGCTTCAAACAATGGGGAAGCTACTCGGAGGCTGTGGATGGTTAGTGGAGACGATCGAAGCTCGGCAGAGCTCTTCGATGTATCGTAGAAGGAAGGGACACGACTCGAAAGGTGGACTTAGCTAGGGCGCGGTTCGCAGTTTCTTCGACAATAGTCGAAGTCAAAGGGTTTGTCGAGACGGTATCGACGAGTAAACGCAGTGGACGAGGTTTCGAGGTTACGCAGTGAGGGACGAAGTGACGCAGTTTAAGGCTTAGACGCGGGGCGAACTCGACTTATGAGCTCTGAACTCGAGGGGGGAACCGGATCTTCTTTTTTTAGAGAGAAGTACGACAGATTTTATACTACACAGGACGCTACGACTATCGAAAGTGGCACACTGGTACAAGGGGCTTTGCATTGTTCCTCAAGAAGCTGCCTCACCGAGTGGCACGCATCAAGTCCATCGGTAGAGTGACGTCATGCCGAACGCGGAGATGAAGAGAAACATATGGCCACTTCGGACCGGTAGCCGTCGTCGAAGGCATGCCGCGAGGTTCGATACCTAATTGGGAAAGACCGGCTACTTCGGTGTGGCTTGGAGCGAAGCGCGCGCTTGGCCGAGCGGCGTCAAGTGGCCCTATTGTTCGCCGAATGCGGAAGATGTCCCGGGATCTACACGCGAGGCATCGGGACGACCGTGCCGAGCTTCGAGTAAGTGTCGCGCACCGTCGAGGATGTCGAAGAGCGTCGAAGGCGAAATCGAAGTGTTGTGAGACTGAGTCGAAGTGACGGGCGGGATGCGACTGCCGAAAAGAGGTGAATCGGGGCCCAGAGGGGCCTGGCGCCTATCATCTCCTCCCTATTGAAATTTGGACCGTCCTCGGTCCTCCACGTGATGCGAGAAGCGCGATGGTCGTGAACGGATCGAAGCGGCTTGACAACCCGTGTAGGTCTCGAACGCCACGTGGCCGGCGCCAAACGCTGGTCGGAAAGGGGTTATAAGCAGGGTAGACTTAGCCTCATTTTCCCCATCCCATCGTTCCTTCGTCGCTACCTCGTCGTCCTTCTTCGCACGCTTCCTGCTCCTACGATGTCTTCTCGCTCCGCCACCCCTGTGTCGACGCCTTCGCTCGTCAACCGCCGTCTCTCCTCTCTGCTCGTGGTCCTCGAGGCTCCGCCGACCGCCGACGCCGCGCTCGATGTGGTCGAAGAGTGGGCGCAAGACTTGTCGCCGCTCGTCGTAAGTCGCTCGTAAATCTGCATAACCCAACTAACCCTTTGTTTTCGAACAGCTTGCCTATCGCAAGGCCTTGGGCGCCATCCGCGACGAGGAGACGGAGCTGCGCGTCGCCGCCGCCGTCAAGCAACTCGCCGAGCGGGCGTCGGAGTCCTGGGTCGAGTGGGCGCGCGGTGACTGGCCCGAGCTCGCGACCGCCATCGACACCGAGGTCGAACGACGCGTCGAAGAGCAGAAGCGCCTCGCCGAAGAGGAAGCACGACGCGTCGAAGAGGCCGCGAAGCGTGTGAAGGCCGCCGAGGACCGTCGCCTCGAAGACGAACGGCGTCGAAAGGACGAAGAGGACCGTCTCAGGCAGGCCAAAGACGAGCGTCGCGCACAAGAGGCTGCCGACGAGGAGTTGGCGCGGATCGCGGCCGCCGAAGGACTCCTCCCCGACCCTGCGACTGCCGGTGTCGACAAGGGGAAAGGGCGCGCGAGGGTCGATGACGAGGTCACTGAGTTGTCGGATGACCCTTCGGTCGTAAGTCTTCTTTTCTCTATCGTTGTTCGATGACTAATCTCTCTTTCGTAGAAGACTCCTCGGACGGTCGAACGTCCGTTCGCGATGACAGAGGTCGACATGGCCGCCGCTGCGATTGTGAAGCGCCAGGCTGGACAAAAGGTACGTTCGATGCTCCGTCGAAGCGGTTCGAAGCTAACGCCTTGATAGTGCGATCGTTGCGCCGGCTACCGCTCGGCCCCGGTCGAGTGCGTGTGGGTCGAGAACGCTACGACCTGCGAGAGGTGCGCGCAGTTCCAACAGGGCTGCTACTTCGACAAGGTGTCTGTCCTGGGCAAGACAAAGAAGACGCGCGGCGGGGGATCAACCACCAAAAAACGCAGTAAGTTGTTTCTTCTGGTTGTCCTAGGCTTTCGCTGACGACCTAGTAGTTCAGCCGACTTCTCCTGTGCCTTCGGTCGCGGAATCGAGTGGTTCGAAGAAGCGTCGCGTCGACGAGCCTCCGCGCCCCCTGCTTCGACTGCCTCTCGATGGGGCCGGCCGCCTTGGCCTTGAACAGGACGACCTCGATGCGCTCGACCTCGACGACGAATCTCGGGGGATAATTCGCGTCATCCGCGAGGAGCGCGCTCACATCGCTCGCCGTCGAGCGCTCCTCCACGACATGGACCTCGACCTCCAGAAGATGGAGAAGGCCGCGCTTGCGAAGGGAGGAATCGGTTTTGTGCGCGGGGCTGTCGACGATGAGTAGGCGATGGCGCGGGTCGTCTTGTATCGTAGTTGTCTTCATGTCGTAGAACATTGCGTAGATGGTCGAATGGAAAATGTGGCCCTTGGCCTAGACGAAACCTAGCGGGAACTAAGAGAAAAGGAAATGAAAATAAGTGTGTTCAAAGCAAGTCGTAATATGTTCGAAGGACATAGAAGGAAAAATAGAAATGTTCGTAGCAAGGGAAAATGGACTTAATGAAAATATAGGCTCAGTTTGTCATCACAGCCTAGGAGGACTCGTCTAAGGTGAGCCTCCGCGCAACGGTCGAATCGAAGCGTTCGTAGAACGTTGAACGATGTCGCGACTATCGAGTTGAATCGAAGGTATTCGTACAAGGGATGGTATGGAACGTAGGAGAAAATCAAACATATCGCGTAACGTGAGAGCAGGAATGGAGAGAAGAAAGTACGTATCGTGTTGTACAAGTAATAAAAGGGAAGATCCTCTATTCGTCGCGTTCTTCGGCTTCTTCGACTTCATCATCGTCGTCGTCGCCTAGAGAATTCGATAGTTCGAGTTCTCGAAGACGCTCGGTCGAGACATCTTCGAGATCTTCGGGAATTGGTATGGATTTGCGCGCGAAGTACGGAATGACACGGAATGCTGCGATGGGTCGATCGAGGACTGTACCGTCGAGTTCGCACACGATGTACGCGCCGCCCTTGTTGCGCGAGACAACGATGAGGGGGCCTAGATATCGCGGGCGCATCTTGCGGTTGAGGGACTTCTCGATCTTCGTGTTGCGTATGAGCACTAGGGCTCCGCGC